AGATAGTCCACTAATACTCTACTAACTGCTAGTTGACATGTAGTTGCAAAGTTACTTACTGTTAATAGAATGTCTAAAGTGGACTATCGAAATAAAGTGTTACCAAATATTTAAATACACCGCATCCTGAGAGCGGCTCCCTGATGCGGCAAAATTATACACAATATTAGAATGGTTAAAGGAGTGGACACGAAAATCGCGGGAGCGAAGCACATGTTGCGGGAGCAGGCGGCAATGGTCAGAGATTCAGCGGGATTCAGCAGATTTTTGTAGGTCCAAAAAGAGGACATGTCCGGGCATTTTAATTTAAACATGTTTAGCTTAGCTAGCTATCGGTATCTACCTGCTGCCATCAGAGCAAGTGTAATTACTGCATTCACACGCTCCTCGATGCTCTCATTTCCCCGAGTTGTGCTTTTAAGTCGGAATGTGAAAACAACATGGACACTCTCGTTACTACAAAGATGTTAGTCTTTTTACCATATGCTTTTTACAGTATAGAACATATTTTCTGCCTCATTCTGTGACAAGAAGCCAGATCAGATCACAAAAGGAAGCAGTTGTGGAGTAAACACTTTATAGTGTTCTCTTGTTGGGCAACAGGTTTAGAAACGCTTCTCATTGCAAGTCATTACGAGGGAAGTTTAGCTTTAGTAGGGTGACCATATTTTAGTTTAAATGCGGGAGCAGGCGGCAATGGTCAGAGATTCAGCGGGATTCAGCAGATTTTTGTAGGTCCAAAAAGAGGACATGTCCGGGCATTTTAATTTAAACATGTTTAGCTTAGCTAGCTATCGGTATCTACCTGCTGCCATCAGAGCAAGTGTAATTACTGCATTCACACGCTCCTCGATGCTCTCATTTCCCCGAGTTGTGCTTTTAAGTCGGAATGTGAAAACAACATGGACACTCTCGTTACTACAAAGATGTGTTGAATTTGTATTATTAGAGCTTTCCGACTTGCGTTCGTGAATTTTCTCAGTCGGGAAATTATTTTTCACTTGCGGTGCCGGTGATCCTTACGTCCGTTTCGGAGAACAAATATTTCAATCGATCGCTCAAGTATTTAAGTGGCACTGAAATGAGGCACCGAAATCTGCGTTCTGATTCGGTTCTAGTACATACCGGTTACATAGGTACCGGTGCCACATTGGTACCGGGTTTCGGTACCCAACCCTAATCGCCTCAATGCTGCATCATGAATAACTCGTCTAAACCGTGGTTAAATGTGACTAACTCTTCTACAGTTTGCAGTCTGCGGCATTTGTAATCTAAATGACTGGAGTTCATGCGAACGCTGTCATGTGAGCGGCTGCTGCCTGTCAGTCAGACTAATAAACCCTAAAACCATATGCACCACAGCTGCTTGAGCAAAACCAATAATAAGCTAGTAGTGTCTTCCCGAAAGAGGAGAGAAAGAGACCTGTGTGTTCGTTATTATGCAGCTGCAGCCGCGCATTTCTGACGAGATCCATCAATGTCGCATCAGCTCTCTCTCTCTCTCTCTCTCTCTAAATATATATATATATATATATATATATATATACACACATTTAAAAATCAACACTTTTATTCAGTAAGGATGCATTAAATTGTTCAAAAGTGACAGTACAGGCATTTCTAATGTTACAAAAAATTTCAATTTCAAATAAATGCTGTTCTTCTGAACTTTCTATTCATCTGTGAATCCTGAAAAAATAAATGTATCAGTTTCCACAAAGGGTTTTTAAGCTCAAGTTTAAGACCTTTTCTAAGACCGGCACAAATAAAATGAACACCATATGAGCGGGGTAGGACAATGTCTATAGTTAGTAACATATTAAACTGTAAATTGACTGTAAAAAGCATGATTTACAGTTCAGACACAGTTTTTCACCAAAAGAAAAAGTGTTATAAAATAATAAACTTCCCATTTCAGCCTTTACACCATTTTTAAGAAAATAGATTAGGCAAAGGCATAAATTATTATATTAATTTAAACAATTATTATCAATCATTATATTAATTAAATAACACATAAATATATTTTACTTATCTGTTTACATTTTTATAATGCATTATCTTCTTGTCAATCCACTAGTTCACATTTACAACTCCGCGTAAAAACATGGGTGGTTTCCACATTGGTCTGCACAAAAACAGCAGACGGGCTGATTAAAAATGCACATTAATTCTCTGCCAGCAGGTGGCGCTGTTAGCACGGCAGAAATACAGCGTTTCGCCGGTAACGGCAGCACTTTGTGCAGATCTCATGTTTATTCAATTAAATAAAATAAAGTATTTTGAAGTTTAATCGTCACATTAAGCTGTATCGCAATTCTTGCCTTTACCTCCCAAAATGTAAAACCTCTTGAAATCATAATTAAGACGTTCTTGTACCATTTAAGACTATTTATGACCTTAAATTTGATGCAACTAAATTTAAGACTTTTAAGGACTTGCGGAAACCCTGTCCACAAAAATATTGAGCAGCACAACTGTTTTCAACATTGATAATAATCAGAAATGTTTCTTGAAATGTTTCTGTTTTTACTGTATTTCTGATTAAATAAATGCAGCACTGGTGAGCAGAAGAGACTTCCTTAAAACACATTTATATGGGTCAAAGACGAAAAAGGGTTAAAGCATAAAAACAATAAGTGTAATACTGCTGTAAATTGTTGTTGTTTTCCAAAAAAAAAAAAAATAAAAATGATGTAATTTTGTTTTTCAGAGCAAAAAATAAATGTCATAGATTTTCCCCTGATTTACAGAAGAGACCCACTAAAATGTCATTCAGTGTAACAATCTTGTCAGGCATATTTACAACAAAAAGCAATTTATGACATATTAAAAGACTAATTACTTTCACCTCAAATACTAATAAGTTATAATTTTACATTTTTTAAATTTGCCACTATCCTAGGTTTTGCCCAATTGTCAGTAAGAATTTTTTACTCATTTAAAACACATCAAATTTAATATGCTCCCTTATTCTTTTATATATTTTAATATGTACACGTCAGAATAAGCATGTTGTTTGAATTTTTACATAAACATTGTGCTACACTGAATGACAATGTAACATTATTTCAACCAAATTTTGACATTTTATCCTCCAAAAAACTTATTTGAAAACTTAAAAGTAGACACTTTACTTACATTTAATGTGCTTTCTATGGACATATAATCACTTTTGTAAATGTATTTTGATGCGGACATCTTAACGTCTTTGACCCATATATATATAATGCTGTTTATAAATCGGCAACATTTTCAAAATGAGGAAAGAAGTGATGAAGATGATGAATGAATGAGAAGAGCAGAACAGAGCAGAGGACTTACTGCCCCACACCGGGATGTCTTTACTCTCCGCTTTCATCACGATAGAAGCCATGGTCATGGTGACGGGAATGGCGTCGAAGTAGGACGAGTGCGGGCCGAGGGTGAGGATGGCCGCTTCTGCGGGCAGAGCCTGTCTGCCCTTAATGCTGATCCAATGGAAACCGCCGGCAAACCACATGACCCGCATGATGGTCCTCAGCACCACGTCCACCAGCCTGCAGAAGAGCCAGCACATCCACCGTCAGTCAGACCACTGCGCTGGCTTTGTTTGATTAGTGCTTTCTGAGCCACATCTATGAGCCGCACCATTGAGAACAAATACAGAGGTTTTCACCAGATGACCTGAACAGCTATATCTGGAAAGAACTACTCCTACAACGATTAGGGTGAGTTAGTCACTGAATGCATCTAAATACATGTGTTTTTAAATCAGTGTAAACAAAATGAAAGATGACTCTGAGTGCAAACCATCTTTTTAGTGCCGAATGATTTGGGAAAACTGTCAGTGAAAAATGTCAGTGTTCGTGGGATTCTTTACACTGCAGATCTGCATTAATAAAGCATAACAACGAACAGAATGTGAGGAGCCGCTGAACGCTCAGGATCTGTTTCTCTCATCTCACAGCTCAGTGAGGTCGTGTGAGCTAATCAGCACTTATAAACACTGCTGGACGTAATATGCATCTTTAAAAGAGTGTTTAATTAGATGCTGGATCTACTGTGCAGAACGGGGTGTTTTCCAACGGGCATCTGGAAATAGACAGGACAACAGCGTGCATGTGTGTGTGTGTTTTCAGCATTGATAATAATCAGAAATGTTTCTCGAGCAGAAAATCAGCATATTAGAATGATTTCTGAAGATCATGTGACACTGAAGATGCTGAAAATTCAGCTTTGATCACGGAATTCAATTACATTTTTTATTTTTTGACATTTTTACTGTATTTTTGATCAAATAAATGCAGCTTTGGTGAGCAGAAGTCTTATTGACCCCAAACTTTTGAACCACAACATAATACTAATATTTAAGCAGACGTGTGTCACTCTAACGTGTTTAAATACAGATGTGAGAGCATTAATAGGCTTGCTCGAGATGCATCGGCGCTGCGCAGAACGATCGGCGTATGACATCAAAGTACCGTGATTCGATCTCGAACAAGCCTATTGTGTTTGCTGATGTGGACACAGCGACACACTCAAACGATGCTGTGAGTTTAAAGGGGTCATGAACTGAGAAATCAAAAATCCCTTGATCTTTTAAGAGGTCATAGTACTATAAAAACATCCCGTAAATTTCAGATCTCAAAACTTTCTCGTTAGTCTAAAAACGGCTTATATTGAAGCCAGTCTTCCAAAATGACAGCTTGTGTAATGTGCAACTTTATGACGTAATAGTGTGGATAAACCCCGACTCCACAGAAGATCAACGCCTGCTTCTACATCACTTTTTTAATGAAGATCCAGACCGCGTCAGTAAGAACTCGGTCCTTTGTTCACCTCATTTTACCACAGATTGATTTACAAACAAGACACAATTCGACAAGATTTTCAGAAAGATTGAAACTAAAAGCTGATGTTGTGCGACTATATTGGATCTGACAGTGATGCCGCACCTCACAAGTGTGAGGAACCGTTTTTATTACTTGCTCACTATTGCTGTGTCTGTTATTACAGATCATTTGATATGAACTGAGTATTTATGCGTTTTTAACCAAAGCGAAAACTATTTTAAAATATTAAAGGGCTCATTAAATCGAGAATCAAAATGTTCTTAAGAGGTTTCTCTGCAATAAAAACAAGCTTCAGAACTCAAAACTAACTCCCCAGTTTAAAATATGAATTATTCTTTTCTGAAACCCCAGGATTTGAAATCGGGGGAATTGTGACATCACGACTTTCCCTTTCTGAATAAATTGCTATAATCATTTATTAGTTCATCGTGGTGGCTGTTAAAATAAAAATGCAGGGAAAGTTTTCGAGAGAGTTCCACATGTAATGCTCATTTCATATGCAAAGATGCTACAGCCAATCACAGCAGTGGGCGTTTCCTTCAGATTCTACAATCCGCCACACCTATTCAAACAGAGCACTCTGATGAGGGGTCAAAACAGGACAGAAAATAACCTATTACTGCTAAAATATTATGTTTTTGATGTAAACATCTTGATAACATTATAAGTGGACCTCAGAACAGTACAAAATAAAAAAAGGCAGTTCACGACCCCTTTAAGGCAGGCCTCGTTTCTTCTATTTGCATCGGGTAGCAGAAACAGAAGCTGTTCTGCTGTGATTGTGCTGCGCTGCTCTCATACTGAACATCGGATCTCTCAGCAACTTCCTGACTTATGAAATAGAGGATCTGAAGTAAAATTCATCACCACAGACAAACTATAAACACTACAGCCAGATGAGTAATGGGAATATGGCAAGACGTGTTGTGAATCTGAGCGAGTAATAAAGGCTCTTTGTCTTGAGCGGTTCTCGCTGTAGTGTTACTGTCAGCTGAAGTGAAGCAGAGCAGCTCTTTACTTTCTCCATAAGCACTGCGGCTCCACCGCTGTCTCGGAGCGGCCCACCGAAGCGATGAAGGCAAATGGCCAGGCCAGCAGCATCATGAACGCCGCTATGAAAAGCCGGATGGGGAAGAGCGTCACCGTCATAAAACCGATCTGCAGAGAGAACACACACACAAAGCTTTTAAATAAACCATTTCTGCAGATCAGAGATGTGCATGTGTCCTGTTCAAAGCTCACGAGGGTCAAATCGACAGATCAGAGTTCATTACACAATCAATATAAAGTGAAACTTCCTCTCAGCAGTCTTGACAAACACAACCAGAGTCTAGCTTCCAGCAGACCAGCGGTAACCATCTGTTCACGTCTGCATTTACACTCATGCCACTGGCCAACGGTTCATCGTGAGGGTGGAAAATAATCATTCACAAATAAATTATGACTAATGAAACAACGTCATAACATCATAGGTGGATTTTAGGGGAAAAAGAAGGATTTAAAAATGAATCAAAACTGTGATGTGTCCCATTTAAGACACTTATTCAGTGCTCTTCAAATGTTAAACAAAGCATGCACAAAGAAATACACATCATGCCTGACCAAAGAAGAAAAAGGACACCGTTTGCTCCCAAGAATATTTAATAATTTATTAAATGTTAAAGAACATTTAATTGATTAATGCTTTTAATAACTTTTTCAAATGTTAAATGTTGATAGCATGCATATCCAAAAATTAATGTAAATCAGGTGACCAAAAAATATCATAAACAACGCACAAGAATGTCAGCAAAAATATTTCATAATTACTTAAATGTCAATCTATTAAATGTTCTTGGGATCAACAGTGCTGATCTTTTTGCATTTTTGGATAATTTCTTCATCTGACAGTCAGTCATTTAACAATAGGGTTGCAAAAAGGTGGAACATTTCCAGTAAATTTCGGTAATCTTTTCTGTTTCTTATAGCATTATAATTTTGTATTGTTTGTAGTGTGATCAACGTTTGCGTAAGTAGTAGACGTGTTAGGGAAGTAACACGTAACATTTTAATTCTATTTTGATTAAATGAACGAATTGACTCGAAAAAAGATTCGTTCATTTTGCTGAACGACACTCAAAGGTCCGAGTCGGTAAAATGATTCGAACTTCCCATCACTAGCACAAACGGCTCGATTAGTTCCGGGATTGATGAAGGCCCGCCTTCCGAAAAACGAATTGGTTAGCTGTCCCAGTGCGTTGTGATTGGCGGTGTTTCGTTACTGCCCCGCCCCTTGCCAAAGCAGCAAGTTCCGTCTGCTCCGGTGTAGATAAGGATGGCGTCAATATTGCCATATCAATTTGAACTGGACTCAGACCCAGAGAATATGGAGCAAGAGGATCGCGCAGAAGCTTTGCACGCACGGATATTGCAAGACATATTAGAGTGGTAACGCTATTGTTTTTTTGTTTTTTTTTGACTAAATCACATTTTAGATACGATGTCAACAACCGCTTAAAC